TGGGGGAGATCCCGCGGTTATCCCCCCAACAACAAACACAAAGGGAGGGAGTACGCGCGAGAAAAGAATGACATTAGATTATTAATCAAAACTGTGGAAGAAAATGCGAGAGGAGGTGAGCGAAGCTTTCGATAGCTATTATCAATCGACGCGATAGAAAATCAGCGATAACGCGACACGAGCGAACAAGAGGTATACTTGGGTGTTTGCGACTGGCTAATGCGGTTCAAGATCATCGGGCAGAGTGTCAGTAGTATTCTTTTCATTCTCGGCAGCTTGTTCCTTCTTTTCGTTCGTATCAATCCCTCGGATTGATCTCGTGCCGTTTCACAAGCAGGGGATCGTGATAGCGGCGTGGGCCGCGAAATCCACTTCCAGCGATCGTTGTTCCTTTTGATCGATGAAATTGGAAACGTACCGTCTGAAGGAATCTCATGGTAGGTAGTGGTTAACGCCGAAACATTCCAGCGGGAAGCATCCGAGAATAGTTGGAGGGAGCTGGAAGCATAGATCACATCCGTGGATCTTTTGCAGTTGGAGTGTCGAGATTCGATGTATCGAGTTGTCCGGCGCTGGTACATTCTGATTGACAGCACGGCGACCGAAGGAAGAAGAAATTAGGGGGAGAAACGAAGACTTATAAGGAAAAGGATGGACTCGAGCAAGACAGGGATCATTGGTCGTGACATTCGCGAAACAGTAGTAGCGAACAAGGGTTCATCGTCGTTGAAACGTTTAGAGCGGTACACCGATCTCATTTGAAGAGAGAAGAGAGACGTGCAACGCGACGGTGAAGGCAGTGAGAAGAATCGTACGTGTCATATAGATGGATACTAATTGGATCGTTGCATTGACGATCACCTGGCTAATTGGCTGGTGTCCGGTGAATGGGAAAGTGACCTGCCGTGAGGTACAACTGGCCCGCGATTGCGAGGCCCTTTGCAAGAAAACTCGCAACGGCACGATCACCTGCGAGCTGAGAGTCGCGGTTGTTCTGCCGGCGGATCCTACGTTCGACATCGCGTTGCCGAAAGTTCTTCCAGTTCTCGGTAAGTTGTCTTCAACGTTCAAGATCGTTGTTGCTTTTTGCGCGAAAAAGCTATTAGCAGCAAAGTATTGTAGAGAGCGTTATTTTGAAACGAATTGCAAATGCATTGGGACAGTCTCGAAAACTTGTTCATCGCCGGTTACATTCACAGATTTGGCTATCTACGAAGCCAGATCGCGAGGACTTCTACCCCGCTGGTTGAATCTAAAGTTTCTTTCGCAGGACGATCATTGCGATGCGACGTACGCCCAAATCGGCGCGATCGATAGCTTCTCGAATTGCGTTCATCTGTTTCTCGGGCCAGCCTGCGATTATTGCGTAGGTAAGTAGCGTAAGTAGGGGTATCTGCTATTAGCAATTTTAACAAGTTCCACGTTCGGGTTTCGTTCAAGGCTGATGTTTAATTTCAGCGGCTGTCGGCAGAGTGGTGAAATTCTTCGGTGCGCCGTTAATTACCACCGGTGGATTCACCTTCGACTTCACGAACAAGAAGACCGAGTGCAAGGACGAGTACTTCATGACAACGCGGATCGGAAACGTGGCCTTCAGGGATCTCACCAATTTCTTTGTAGCTTTAATGAATCGGTAAATGAGAAGAGAATTAATCAACGATGGAGTCACTTCGAAAGCGACTCTATCTTCAACTTGGGCAATTTCTACACTAATGTTATTATGTGTTACCGCGCAGATACGAGTGGCGGAAGATACATATGGTGTACGCAACGAACGGACAGAGTCAAGTTGCCGGCAAACACACTTGTCAGTTAATGATGAAGTCCATGGTAGAGTTTATCAAGATACAACCAAACTTTACGTTCCGCGCGTTCGATGTCGAAACCAGCGTTTCCGAAGATTACGCAAAAGCATTGCAGAACCACGTGGGGAACTGGTACGGTGGTAAGTTTCCCAGACATTTTCAATATCCGCTTTCTATCGTTGACGAGCTCCGCCAAAACTAACCATAGTGTTAACGTACACTTTTTGACGTGCCTCGTGAATCACTGGTCAACGTTGTAAACGTTTACGCGAGTGAATACGGAACCAGCCTGGTGCTCTCCCCTCGTCGCGAGTAAACGATAAGTCGATTTTAGACGAAATCGTACGAGAAGCAGATGCAACGAGAAGAAACGTCTTCGCGTACACGCGAGTAAACCAGATATAAATATATCTAATATTCGACTTTGAGCATACTTTTCGTTATCACGTTCGCTCATCGGGGGTGTTACATCGATGAGTTGACATTGTTAAAAGGGGACGGTTACTGCACGACAACGAGGGAATCTTGGGAACGAAAACTGGAGAATGTGTAAATGAATGTACACACGATCATACTTGTATGATATGGTAAAACTCTTCAATCGTGCACTTAACTTTTATCTCGACAAAATGAACCTTGTTTTTCTACGCTCGCGATTGCTACCGCTCGATTTTTCATATTTTTTACTATTGACTTCCACGGTTGATCGAGGACCGAGAAAAACAGGAGTGCGATCGTTGATCTAATTGCCCGTATCAATTAACCGAAGTCACTGTTATCGCATTGTTTCCTGTGCGTTATCACAACACGTTATCACCGAGTCAAAGCATTTCTATTATTGCTCTGCCACAGTATGATACACGACAGACGCGTCACAATGTCTATATTTAAACTATACTTTTCAACAAATAATGTAAAAAAGAACGTGCACGCGTTTGATATCCATCAAGTGTTACAAGGCTAACATACTAAACCTGCTGTTAAGGTATTGGCGAATTTGTGATTTCACGTTTGAACGACGCGGGACGAATCGACGAATTTTGTTACACCCGTCGATAAGAAGCATACCTTTCGTCGATAATTGACTGTTCTTCGTTCGTCGATAAGTGAAATTGTCTTCTCACATTTACTTTTTTAAAAATATTTATTAACACTTTATTAATGACTAATTAAATCATTTAGAGGACAAGTCATATTCAAGAATCGAACACTTTGAAATCTCACGATTTCATTGAATAGATTTGTGAGCTTAGATCTCGGGAAAAGAAAAAGAAATGTGCAACAAACGCAAAATCTCTCATGTGTGTATATTTTAAAATCTATTTACCAAATTTAGACACTTGAAAACTGTATCTAATAAATGCTGAAATACTTTCCACTAAACCAACCGTGCAAATTTACAGATTGAGATTGAAAGAAGAAGAAGACGAAGAAGAAGAAGAAAAAAAAGGAAAGAAGCTTTTACGAATTTCAATGATTAATGTTCGTATGAAACAATAATACTATATAGATGAGAGCGTGTAGGGGTGGGAGATGACAATTGATAGAAGGCGGAGGATGTGCAAAGTTCGGACGCATGCGTTTCTGCTGTTCTACTCCCTATCTTCGCGATCGGCGCAGCAAGGCATCTATCCTAGGGTTAGAGGGGCGAAGAGACGCGGTCGAGAAGGACGGAAGGAGCGGGCAGAGAAAGAGTAAAAGGAAGAGAACGACCGTCCGGCATCGGTGGTGGCACGATTCGGAGTAAAACGGGAAGGCTTCGAAGATTCGCTTGTCAGTTCTGTTCGCGCGGTCTGAGCTCGCTCGTTTCGCCCGCGAAGCTCTCCCCTTGTTTGAAATAACACGCGGTCGTCCTTCCGAGAAGAAAGATAGAGAAAGTAACAAAACGGAATTATTTGAAAAGCTCTCGCTTCTGGTCAACGTTTTACTTATTTCTTACGACTTACAATTAGCGTCAAGTTCGATTGATCCGACCTGGTGCATCATTTTATCACACAGACAGAGATGTTTAGAAACTTACAAAACGTGATGTTATGGATTACGTATCTATTGTTAATTACACGTGTTTTCCAAATTACCGCGAAAGTGGTAATCATTGCCAGTCATGGGTTAAAGCCTCACCCATAAACATTTCTATTACATTATGGTTGAATTTCAATGATACAAATGAATCAACAATCGCGCAATTGTTCCATTGTACAGAATAGGGGTTGCAATCTGTACGAAAAGAAAGGCTTTTCCCCCCGGTTCAACATGACACGTCGATCACCATCGATTCGGTGATCATATCGTCGATCTTCGCACGTGAAATTGCTACCTTTGATGGCCTCAGG